CCATCATCTTCCAGTCCATCATCATCATCCATTCCTAGCATATCTAGGTTGGATATTGGAGGCTCTCGTACATCTACATCTAGTGCTGCTTCTACACCATCTCATAGACGCAAGCACAATCTTGGAGGGGATGTACAATTTGATAGTAATAAACGATGATTGATAATTGTCCCCTACGAGGATGGGTAAGAAGGTTCTTATACAAATTTTATTTTTGAATGTACTTTTAGATATGTTAACATTAAGAAATATTTATTTGCAATTAAAAAATATTTATTAATTATATATATGTTAAATTTAATGTAGGTTTTTGCCATCCTTTCAAACTACACATTTGGTTATAGATTCTATAAAGCCATTTTATCATGAGCCATGGACTTCTTGGAGAAAGATACAGTACAACATCAGAGAGCAAATATGGAATCAATTTAGGGTTTTAATTATATTTATTTAATAATTATCGTCTTCATATAATGTTACTTTTTTATATTGCAGACAAGGTGTACATGACATCCTCAATATCAAAAAGCAATAAATATTATTTTCGAGAAGAAAACTGCTATAAGGATTAAAGATACTATATGCGCTACTCGGAATTCCGGTAAAATGCCGGACTGGTTAAGAGAAGATGTTTGGGATAAACTTCTTGAGAAATGGAATACCCCAGAATGGAAGGCAAAGAGTGAACAAGCAAAGGCAAATCGTGCCTCTAAAAAAGGTGGCTCGTTGCACACAGGAGTTTCAATTACTTCTGCTGCCCATAAACTAAGAATGGTAATTATTTATAAAAATTTTCTTAGTTTTACATATAGAAATTTACGTTTTGTAATGTCTAACTCATACTTTTCTTATGAAGGAATAGGAAAGAGGGTGAGATATGAGTCACACTGAGGTCTTCGAGGAGTTGCATAAGAAAAAGAAGAAGGATGGTACAAGAGAACACTGGGTGGAGATGCATGCGTCAGACGCATATGTAAAATTCTAACTTCATAATTATTTATGGTTTATAAATATTAGTTTGTTTACATAATAGTTATGTTTCTTATTTCAGGAAGATTATCATAAAAGATTGGAAGAATGACAACAAACTTAGCCTCCTTCAAAACAACCAACACCTGATGATATGGCTTCATTGTGGACAGAGGCAGCGGGTGGAGCAAACAAAGGCAGAGTCTACGTACTATGAGCATGTCGACCTACAGGTCATTCAAACCCACTCTTAGCCAATTCTTCTTTCCTTAAAATCAAGAACAAATGGAAAATATGAGAAACGAAATTAGTGAATTGAAGCAACAAATGGACTCCCAATACGGAACATTTGTTGGGATGCATAAATTCATGTGTAAACATGGGCATGATTTATCTGATGAGGATGAACAAATTGAATCTGATGTGTAGTAGTTTAGTTGTGATATTTTGGTTGATTGGTAAACTTGATTGTGAGAGACAACTTTAAGTATTGCTTTTAAACTTGAATGTGGGCTACTATTTGGATGTTTTTATGCCCAAAATTATTAGGTTTAAAGGTTGGTATTATTGGTTTAAGTTGTGCTAATGGTTGGCATTGTTGGTTTAGATTTTATTAATGTATTATTAATTTAGATTGTGTTAATGTATTGTTGGTTCGTATTATTGAATTAATGTATCGTTGGTTTAGATTGTTGTTAATGTATTGTTGGTTGGTATTTTTTTTTTGTAGTAGTTTGACATGTGGTGTAGCTCGAAATTGGGCAGAATTCTACCCAGTTTTACACAAAATTCCGACGAAAACGGTCGGATAGCTGCCCCGATTTAACCATAAATTCCCAGATTTTCGACTGATTCGGTCGGAAATTTTAAAAAAATTAATATTCAATAGTTTTCGACGGATTCCGTTGAAAATTAAATAAAAATTAATTTTTAATTATTAATTTTATTTGTATTATTACGACCGATTCAGTCTATAAATTCCGACCAATTTAGTCGGAAACGTGAATTATTTGGTTGTCTAACCTTTTTGAAATTTGCGACCACTTTGGTTGGAAATCACCGACAGATTCGGTCGGAAACAACATTTTTCCGACCGACCAATTTCGGTCGGAAAGTAGTCAAAAATACGTGATTTTCGATTGAATTTCGACCGTTTTGGCCGTCGGAAATCTACCATTTTCTAGTAGTGCTTGTTGTGCATTTTTGTTGCACAGGCACATGTACGTCTAGTGGTCTCGTTGGGCGCATCGACATGGTTGACACGGGGACTTGGGTGAGCTGCATCTGTTGAGACGACTCGCAGCCTGCAGAGTCTCTTTCAGAGTATAGTAGTTCTTTTCTGTCCAATTGTATTCCGGACAATCATTGTAAGTTATTGTTAATTCCTAATAGATGCTCATGCACTTGTGATACCGAGTTCTAGGATGTCTATGGGATTATTCAGTATTTAAATTTGTTGAAGACATCGTTATTTATTCAATGAAATTCTTTATTTATTGTTTAATGTATAAAGGAAATAATTTCAAAAAAGTATTAAAACGAGAAATTACTAGTTATTTGGTATTGGCTTGCTTGACAGTGATGTCCGGCGCCATCATGACCTTTAATGGATTTTGGGTCATGACATTAAAAGTATTATTCTACTACTATTTATAAAGTGCATGAATCTGATTTCTATCATTATATTAGCCAAGAATTCACTCGCGATGTTCTCTACCTCATGTATGAACTATGTAACATAATTATAATTTCTTTTCAAAGACAAATAAACTCCTTCTTACAAAAAAATTATTAGAAATTTAAGAGGACAATATTCTTCTAATTGCCTTCACAATAAATCACAACTGAAGCATACAATTTTGTTTAGCAGCTAAGCAATAAGCATAACCAATAATTATAAGTTTATGATTTAGCAATACTCTCTACTAAAAAGACACAAGAGATTGTTATAGGATCAATATTCATCATTTTTACTTTATTGTTTATTTTATGATTGAATCATATTCTTTAATAATATTTATGTAATTTCTAACAAAATTGGTACCTATTAATATAAGGTGCACGCGCAACACGTACACGTATCATAAGACTAGTAGATAGATAGATAGATAGATAGATAGATAGGCCGACCGACCTACCTTACTCCTTACCCATTTTAGTAAACTTTTTAAATATTTGATTAATATAATAATTCTATATGATCCACTTTTACCTTACAATGAACTGTATTTAGCATTACTTCCAATTTGAGAACTTTGAAGGTGATAAGGAGATTCAATGTAGTCATGAGCATGCATTATGCATAGTCGCATTCATGCTGCTAAATCTGATGAGCAACAAATTAAAAGATGCTTTTCTCTATTAGATTGAGTGCATTTAAATATGACACAATTGCAGATCAGCCAACTAGTGGAGGTGCTGGCTAGTTTCTTTTACGATATATAATAAAGTTATAGCCATATTCAAAATGTAAAATGCTCTGGATTGGATCAGATTCATCTTTGATTCTCTCATGTGCATCCTCGTGAAATGATGGATCCGAAGTTAGGTCAACTTATTAATTTAGTTATAGTAATTGAAGAGCAACACTCTATTCTCTACTCGTAGTATACATTATTTCCCGGTCAAAATGTCACATTCTAATAAGTGCAGATAGTATATAATACTCCTATCAAAAATAGCACTATACTCTTTCTTAGCTTGGGGCAGAAATTAAATATACTCAAGAACGCAAAGCTAACCCTAAAAATAGAATATTACCTTAGCTCAAAGATTGTTTACTCAGATATTTCTTATCAAAGCGAGGGTTTCATTTCAGGTGAAATCAAATCAGAAGCTATTTCCGCACAACCATTAATTGTTGCTATTCACGCATCCCTGTCCGGTGGTTTGGCAAAGAAAGTCGAGACTTTCAGAAAGAGAATTATGGCATTTTTAGGATTATAGTATGGTGAATTTAATGAGTCTAAGATTTATGCAACCGCGCAAAGATGATTTTAGAGTCCTCACTTCCTTTATGAGGGGAATACACAAAATTTGTTGTTCCTATCATTTATTTGTATAATTTAATTAGATTGATTTCCTTCCAAATTTGATGAAATTTGCAAGATCAAAATCTGGAGCAATAGGAGATTGATTTCCTTTCATATTTCATATCTCTTATATATTGTTGTTATTTTTATTACGCATTTTTATGGTACTAATATATCATCTCCTATTGCTTTTTTGAGCCGAGGGTCTCCCGGAAACAGCCTCTCTACCCTTCGGGGTAGAGGTAAGGTCTGCGTACATATTACCTTCCCCAGACCCCACTTGTGGGATTATACTGGATCGTTGTTGTTGTTGTTGTTGTAAAATCTGGAATGATGACGATATATGAGCGTCGTATAGGTCTGTTTTATTTTCCTTATATACCATAAATATTTTTTGCTGTGTCGCTTTCCTCAAACTCAAAGGGAGTTTAGTTGTGTTTGTTTTCTTCTTGTTTTTGGTGAAAATAATTACTAATATTGGCGAATTGATAGCTACTAATTGCTGAACTTCAGGCTGTGGCCTTTGTCTTTCTCTATGTGAGTCTTACATATTCATCAGCTAAAACACTAAAATGATGAGAGATTAAATTTTTTATCTGTGAAATAAACTTTATTGCACGAGCTAATTTTTTATCTGTGAAATATGAAACAACAAAGTTTTTACTCAGAAAATAAAAGACACCCATTTGGCATACCAATCATATTAAAAACTCATTTTTTAATGATAAAGCTCATTTATACCATGTCCCCTATACCACCCTTGAACTTCATTCGTTTCTCACATGCCTCTTCCAGCAAATATGGATCTGAAATTAGGGTTAATTAATAATTCAATTGATTTATTGCATTATCTTAGACGTGGTCAGCTCATGTAAGGCTTGAACTTAAAGGAAGTTATAATAATAATAACAATATAATAATAATAATAAACAACTCTAGTCTTGTTTGAGTGCAAGTTAGATCTCTATAAATAACCTTTGAAGATACTCACAAAAAAATGTTCACAAAACTTTAAGCAATTTATCTAGTATGGCGTTACTTAAGTTTGGTTTAGTCATCACTATTCTTCTCACGGCATTCACTAGTTAGTATCCATTCCTCTTTATTCGTGTAGTGTTGTGCAATCTGTCGTTATTGTGCTTGTCAATAATATGTTTAGAGCCCGTTTGGCTATAAAACAAAATTTCGTTTTTTTTTTCGAAATCAATGTTTGACCATAAAATTTTCAATTTTCACTTGAAGATGAATTTTAAAAAACTCTAAAAAATATTTTTCTTCATTTTGATCACTCACAAAAATTCAAAAATAGTCTGTATTCATGTCCAAACACAACACTAATTTTAAAATATCATTTTCACTTTTTTCGGGAATTTTACAATTCTTATGTCCAAACGTCCACCTATAGTTACACATGTGAATTTTTACATATATGTGTGTGGGCGCGCTTTTTTTCCTATACATGCAGATTGAATGTGCTCTCTTCCATATTATACCAGTAATTAATAAATTGATTTTGTAATTGTGGTGATGAATTTTTTTCAGCCGATGTGATATGGTTCTCAAAGACACAAGTTATGGCAGCAAGAAATGTCGATCCTAATAATGTAACAGGACTCAGAAGGAAATTACTTCCACAACTTAATGATATACTACCTACTTGTGGGAAAGCGTGTGGTATCTCTAATGGAGAAGATTGCAGTGGTTGTTGGTTTTGTTGTAGCTGTGAACGATCAACTTTCCCTTGGGAATCTGATAATCCTTTCTTTTATCGTTGTCAGTGACAAAAATTGGTAAATTAGTTCCCGATTGAAAAGAGTCTGCTAAAGATATCTATTACATGTATTTGTGATTCCGTTTAATTTCAGTATCTGCTCTGTTTTTTCTTATTTTCTTACACGAATAACAAAGAAATTCATATGAATGACTTTTTACTTTTTTTTTTATGAAGAATAACAAACTCAGCTTCACATGCAGGCAGGGCTTGCTTTTTAGTGCTTTTATAATTCAATCATACATTGAGCAAATCTAATTATGCATAAGCGATCTATGTCGTCTTCTTACTTCTTGTGCTATATATTTATTTAATACAGTTTATCCTTCATTCTCTAATGTAGTAATCTATCTACAGAGGAATTTAATTACCGTTTCTTGTGTTTCTAAGAAATTGTTTCTAGCAGTAAACATGACGCATCTATACACAAGAGGCGAATTTAAGTACCCTATGAAATAAATTACTTAACATGTAGAATTCTTAATCAATTCAGTTAAATATCGATTAAGAGTTTACCAATGTTCTCTCTTCTTTCTGACGCTAATTATCCTTTTCTCCTGAAGAAGCTATAAGGGTGTAATAATCAAGTATATATTGGGTAATTTCACAAAAGGTCATTCAACTTATACTAAACTCACTCAATTTCACTAAAAAATCAAGTTCGCTGAATTTTTTAATTCTAATTAAGAGATTATTTAAAACTTAAAAAAAGCTCCCACCCAAATAAAATACCCATAAGCCGACCTGACCCAACCTTTTGAACTTTTAATTAAACGAACTGTTGAAAATCTTCCTCCCCACATTGTTGATCTTTTTTTTTTTTTTTTGGCTAAGAAAGCTTTTATTAAAAATATAACTAGTGCGTTACAGAGGTTGGAACTGAACGGTAGGTTACAATTCGAGCTACATCAGAAGCTAAAAGCGGTAAAGTAAAAGTAGGGGGATTTTCAAAAAGGATAACATCATTAGGTTGGAAATCCGTGGTTGTCTTCCCATGTTTGGCTAATACATCCGTCACAGCATTACCCTCCCTGAATGTGTGTTGGATCTGGGTCACCTGGAGCATCGAATTGCATGCAAAATTGATATGTGAGTGTTTTAGTGGAGCATTAGATAAGATGTGTAGGAGTATATGAGAGTCCGTTTCCACCGGTAATGGTCGGAAATTGTGAGCATTTGCTAGTAGTAGCCCATGATATAAGGCTAGCGGTTCAGCTTGGAGAATATCAGTATGGCTCAATGATTTGGTAAAACCATACACCTAAGCGCCAGAGTGTCACGACCCCAGCCCCGGTTATGATGGCGCCCAACACACTGCTAGGCAAGCCCGACCATTCAACAACATTATCCC